ATATTTCATTTTGGGGGATGTTATCATGAAAGGGATGGTTCCCCTAATTTCACTCTTGGAGAATTCATTGTTTGTGTACAAAAAATGCTATTGATGCTTTAATGTTGACCTTGTATCCTGCTATACTACTGAATTTAGTTATTAAATCCACAAGTCTCTTGGTGGAGTTTTTGGGATCTTCTATATACAGCATCATATCATCTGCAAATAATGATAATTTCATTTCTTCTTTTCCAGTCATTATTCCATTTATTTCTCTCTCTTGCCTAATTGCTCTGCCTAATGTTTCCAGAACTATATTGAAGAAGAATGGTGACAGTGGGCATCGTTGTCTTGTTCCTGGTGTTTATTTGTTTGTTTGTTTGTTTGTTTGGCAGAACCAGGGATTGAACTCAGGTCATTGCGCTTGCCAGGGAAGCACTTATTCCACTGAGCCACCTCCCAGGCCCCTTGTTCCCGGTTTTAAACTGAAGGTTTTACATTTTTGTCCATTTATATGATGTTGGCTATTGGCTTGTCATAGAAGGCTTTTATCAGATTGAGGTAAAGACCATCTATTTCAATTTTCTGTTGGGTTTTTATGATGAATGAATGTTGGACTTTGTCAAGAGGTTTTTCTGCACCTATTGAGATGATCATCTGATTTTTGTCTTTAGCTATATTGATGTGGTGTGTTACAGATATGGATTTGTGTGTACTGAACCACCCCTGCGTTCCTGGGATGAATCCCATTTGATAGTGATGTATAATCTTGGTGATTTGCTGCATTCTGTTTGCTAGTGTTTTATTGAAGATTTTTGCATCTGTGTTCATTAAAGAGATTGGCTTGGAGTTCTCTTTTTTAGTTGGGTCTTTTTGTGGTTTTCCTATCAGAGTAATGCTTGCCTCCAGGAATGAGCTTGGGAGAATTGCTTCCCTTTCAATTTCATTGAAAAGTTTGAGAAGAGTTGGCATTGAATTTCCTCTAAATTTCTTGTAGAATTCAGCTGTGAACCCATAAGGATCTAGTCTTTTCTTTGTTGGTAGGGTTTTTTTATTCCATTTTCAATTTCATTGGGTCATTCAGAGTTTTTATATCATTTTGAATCAGCCTTGTCAATTCATACATATCTACAAATTGTTCATTTCTTCTGTGTTTTCCATTCTGTGAAGGTGAAGATTTTAGAAGTAGGTATTGATGATATTCTGAATTTCTACAGAGTCTGTAGTGATTTCACCCTTTTCATTCCTTATTGCCAGAATTTGAGTTTTTTCTTTCTTTTTTAATAAAATTGGTTAGGAGTTTATTAATTTTATTCTTTCAAAAACCAACTCTTTGATTCATTCATTCTTTGTATTGTTTTCTTTGTCTCCATTGCATTTATTTTTGCAATTTCTTCTGTTATTGCTGATTTGACTTTTTGTGTCTGTTAAAATTTGTCTTATATAGTTGGCTGCTCCTACATTGGGTAT